TAGTATATTGTCTGTAAAGTATATTGTCCATATAGGATATTGTCTGTAAAGTATATTGTCCGTATAGGATATTGTCTGTAAAGTATATTGTCCGTATATGATATTGTCTGTTTAGGCTTTTGTCCGTATAGGATATTGTCTGTAAAGTATATTGTCCGTATGTTATATTCTCTGTTTAGGATTTCGTCTCTATGGTATATTGTCAGCATAGTATCTTGTCTGGTCATAAGTCACACCAGAATGTCTTATCTAAACGATCATGGTCAGCTAAGCGCGTAGTATTATTGGAATTAATATAAACATGTGATTGATCTCGACATCCCATTGTAATCACAAAAAACCCGAGTCAGGCTTAACCGACAATTATCAACATGAAAAAAACATACGTGACACATAGTTTATTGTCTGTTTAGGATATCGTTCTTATGGTATATTTCTGTGTATCTTATGAATAGGGTATTGTTTGTTCCTTATACAGAGAAAATTGTGTTACTGGAAAAAGCATTTGGTCAATTGCAAGGTACTATTTGATTTTGTTTTACATGTTTCGGGTCATTTTACACATTTGGTCAGTACTAATACTAATGATACATATATGGACCAGACAGTCACGTGGTAAAGATGTTTACTTTAATTTGCCGCAGCAACAGTTTGCGCAAGTTCAACATTTATCATATTACTTTGAAAAATAAACATCGTACTCTAGAAAAAAAATCGTTGTACTCTAGCTGAAAAGATACGAGGTAATACTGCAGCAATCATATGGAAAAATGGGCACTGAACATAAATATTCAAGGGTTGGATTGTCGTCTTTTTTGTCGTTGTACTATAGTACCGTCATTCCAATTAACCGAGTCGTACAGACTTTGAAATAATTTGTAGCTAAGGCAGCATTTCTTTAATCATATATATTTTTTTAGTAAATAAAACGATACTACAGGGTTCAAAGGAACTAATTTTTGATCAGATACATGACAATAAATCAAGAAATTGGAAGTTGCTAGCGCAACATTTATGACGTCATAATCAAGGGAAGTAAATCTATAACTCCACCAAGTTGTAATAATGCTGAAAAATGTGTCGTTTTAGGTCAGTTTCCATCACCACGAGGGCGCTGGGGACCATTTTGCTTCTGTTGGAACGTGTTCGCAGACAACTGTCCATGCAGTTGGATCTGGTTTGGATTTCCGTAACATATTTCTTGGATCATAAAACGTACTAACGATCACCAAACATTATCCCTATCTACTGAATCATCTATCTTCTACATCGATATGGTCAGGACATTGATCGATTCAAAGCACACAGTAAAGTGATGTAAAACTAAACCACATATTGTCATGATTTCATTCATCATGTTTCCAAAACCTTTTACAACAGTGATTGAAATATAAACCGGTTTCATGGATGTTGTAGTTCATGAAAAATAATTCACTTTTTATGTTACAACGAATAATTTTAAACAAGATACGACATCAACTTTATTTATTTTACAACAAATGCGAAGCAATTTATTTCAGTTCATACTAATCACTCTTGTTGGCCAGACACCCGACTAGATTCATGTACTGACTCATAAATAACATGTTTATAGTATATATATATTTCAAATTTGTCTTTGCAAATTCAGCAAAACGTTTTCACTTCAGTAGATATTGTGATTACTTGGATGGGGACAGATTTTAAAAAGTTATATTAGTGTAAAGTGCGCATTTTTTCATCAAAAAATGAAGGTCTTAAGTAGGGAGCGCGCACATTACATGCATGTAGGATTTTTTCTCCACTTTTTTTCCGTGGAAGATTTTGCCTTAATTGATCGTCGGGATTCTCTGGTTTGCAAACAATCATGAGCAACAAAAACAAACAACATTATTACTGTATATATTAATGAAAACTTACCGATCGCTTGCAGTAAAGAGTTGTGGCTTCAGTCAATAACTTTTTTGAACATTTATATTAAAAGCGTCTGCAGACGCATCACAATCACCAATGATATTTGTATAAAAAGCACACACGTGTGCCAAGCTGTCGTTCTTGCTAGTAGTGTACAATCGTCATAATTCGTTCACTTTTCATAGATGAAACTGAAACTTCGTATGTTAATGTCACTAATTACATATCTGTTGATGTCACTCACTTAATTTCGTATTTCAAATTCTATGATTGAAAACGTTGCTCTCGAGTGTGTCACATAACGTGTAGTGCCGTCGGCGATCGAAAAAAATTGAATTTATTACTCAATCAGTTTTAGAAATATCAACTTGAAAAAAAATGTGTATTGTGATCATATCTCTGATGTTGCTAACTGTATTGTATATCTAAAAATATATTTTCTGTGGAGTCTTTATGACTAGAATAGATGTCAATGTCGCCATAATTCTGTGCGTTCCGTCATATTGTCCCGTCTCAAAGAATCCTCTGCAAACCAGAACAATGCTAGTATGTGATTGACGCAAATCTCAATCTGAACGTGATACTAGAACTGTAATACAGGTGAGGTATAGGAACACAATGGAGATCTCCCCAGAACGTTAGGATAATTGGACCAGACTCTGATATACCATACAGGTGAGGTATAGGTAGATATATAGGTAGAAAATTGAGATCTCCCCAGAACGTTAGGATAATTGGACCAGACTCTGATATACAATACAGGTGAGGTATAGGTAGATATATAGGTAGACAATGGAGATCTCCCCAGAACGTTAGGATAATTGGACCAGACTCTGATATACAATACAGGTGAGGTATAGGTAGATATATAGGTAGACAATGGAGATCTCCCCAGAACGTTAGGATAATTGGACCAGACTCTGATATACAATACAGGTGAGGTATAGGTAGATATATAGGTAGACAATGGAGATCTCCCCAGAACGTTAGGATAATTGGACCAGACTCCCTGATATACAATACAGGTGAGGTATAGGTAGATATATAGGTAGACAATGGAGATCTCCCCAGAACGTTAGGATAATTAGACCAGACTCCCTGATATACAATACAGGTGAGGTATAGGTAGATATATAGGTAGACAATGGAGATCTCCCCAGAACGTTAGGATAATTGGACCAGACTCCCTGATATACAATACAGGTGAGGTATAGGTAGATATATAGGTAGACAATGGAGATCTCCCCAGAACGTTAGGATAATTGGACCAGACTCTCTCTGATATACCATACAGGTGAGGTATAGGTAGATATATAGGTAGACAATGGAGATCTCCCCAGAACGTTAGGATAATTGGACCAGACTCCCTGATATACAATACAGGTGAGGTATAGGTAGATATATAGGTAGACAATGGAGATCTCCCCAGAACGTTAGGATAATTGGACCAGACTCCCTGATATACAATACAGGTGAGGTATAGGTAGACAATGGAGATCTCCCCAGAACGTTAGGATAATTGGACCAGACTCTCTCTGATATACAATACAGGTGAGGTATAGGTAGATATATAGGTAGACAATGGAGATCTCCCCAGAACGTTAGGATAATTGGACCAGACTCCCTGATATACAATACAGGTGAGGTATAGGTAGATATATAGGTAGACAATGGAGATCTCCCCAGAACGTTAGGATAATTGGACCAGACTCCCTGATATACAATACAGGTGAGGTATAGGTAGATATATAGGTAGACAATGGAGATCTCCCCAGAACGTTAGGATAATTAGACCAGACTCTGATATTCAATACAGGTGAGGTATAGGTAGATATATAGGTAGACAATGGAGATCTCCCCAGAACGTTAGGATAATTAAACCAGACTCCCTGATATACAATACAGGTGAGGTATAGGTAGATATATAGGTAGACAATGGAGATCTCCCCAGAACGTTAGGATAATTGGACCAGACTCCCTGATATACAATACAGGTGAGGTATAGGTAGATATATAGGTAGACAATGGAGATCTCCCCAGAACGTTAGGATAATTGGACCAGACTCTGATATACAATACAGGTGAGGTATAGGTAGATACATAGGTAGACAATGGAGATCTCCCCAGAACGTTAGGATAATTAGACCAGACTCCCTGATATACAATACAGGTGAGGTATAGGTAGATATATAGGTAGACAATGGAGATCTCCCCAGAACGTTAGGATAATTGGACCAGACTCTGATATACAATACAGGTGAGGTATAGGAACACAATGGAGATCTCCCCAGAACGTTAGGATAATTGGACCAGACTCCCTGATATACAATACAGGTGAGGTATAGGTAGATATATAGGTAGACAATGGAGATCTCACCAGACCGTTAGGATAATTGGACCAGACTCCCTGATATACAATACAGGTGAGGTGTAGGTAGATATATAGGTAGACAATGGAGATCTCCCCAGAATGTTAGGATAATTGGACCAGACTCCCTGATATACAATACAGGTGAGGTGTAGGTAGATATATAGGTAGACAATGGAGATCTCCCCAGAACGTTAGGATAATTGGACCAGACTTTTTGACATCATCAGGAACAGGGCCTGTTAATATGACCTTACCAAGGTTTTGAGGTCATGTTTATACATCATCTTGTGACTTATATATTGGCTAATTACCACTAGGAGACACGAATGCCCCATTGTTTCCTGAAAAATATACGTCTCTTCCAAAATCTATCTTTATATAGGTGATTTGATGAAATGACTGTACCGGTTGTTTCCTTTTACCTTCAAGCAATATGTGATTGATGTACCATTGACAGATGGGGTTAAAAAGAATGTAGATTATATTTTAGAATGTGTACCCATTCTTCCATCATCACATTGAGCTAAAATCACCTGAAGTAAACAAAAATAATTTGTGTATATCAAATTTGTGACATTTAATATCGTGTTTCTGTTTTCCAGTCAAGGAAGTCGTTCAGCCTGAACATTTTATTACCAATTTATTACAGGAAATATATCAACACAGGTGTCTAGTACATACTTTTTCCTTCTGTGGGGAATGTTTTATTATAATACAAAATTTCAAACAAATGAAGTTAAATTTGTGGCATGTTTATTAGAACAGCAACATTATCTCTTTGTAATTTAATTACTAAAAATTAAGCATGCTAATACTCTTACTTTAATTAAAACATTAATCTACATAAATATAATAACATATTAGCATCCCCTGTCAGAATTATAAAAATGGTAAGGACTCTAGGAGTCCACCCTTCCCACCCCACCCCCCGCGACCAAGAAAAGGGGAAGTATTTCTGAGAGACGTATGTCCCGATCTTGTAGGGTCCCAATGATTGTTGTATACGAGAAAATATTTGCCCTTTGTTTTTCTACCACGCATGAAACTGTTCTGTCAATCATTCAATTCCCTCTAAAGTATCAGATAAATAAATACATATCTTCCAACTTTAGCATCAATTTGCGAAAAATACTAAAAGGTCCAACGTTAATCTCCAGTGACAGTTTATCTTTAGATTGTGGTCCTAAGTGAATGGGAAGTGTAGATAAAATCTGGGGTGTATATTGGGAGCTGTCGTCAATTCCTAAAATAATGCCCTGATTTTTTTTGAGATTCGTTTTTGTTTCAAATTCCAAAGTCCTCTCAAAATGTGATAGATTAATTTCAACCAATCAGGTATCGAATCTCAACTAAACGGTGACCAGAATCTTACTTGTACGTTGTGTATATAAATTTTGATTTGAAATATTTCTTGTCGAAATTTTTTATAAATGTATAATCAAAAACCATATTAAAAGTTGTGCATTAAAATGAAAAACATAAGACATCTTTAATATACAACAATATGATGACAAAAACTATACTCGTCAATAATCAATAATGTTAATCAAATGTAAAAACGACAATATCTCAATAATGTTACTTTTTCTTTCAAACCTAGTTATAACCCAGTATCAGAGTTCATGTGTGGGATTTAAATTTTGTCAAATGCAAGACGAAAAACTGGTGCGGATATAAATATTACACTTTCCTTTAAAGTCAATTTCGAGTTTCAATCAGTCAAGTCAATCGAGTTAACCGTAACATCGTCCCACATATACTTAGGTAGTTATTCACCTGTTGGAGCACTGTAAGGCAGCGAAGGATGAGACATGGCAAGGATATTATTGTGTGTGTACCGATTAACATCAGGTTATAAAAATCCATGTTTTACGTTTTATCAAAATATGTTAGGTATCCATACAAATTTTAAAAAAATGAAATAAAAAAATCTTCCTTATCTCTATCTTGAATAAATATTATATACAACAAAAAGGAATGAAACCTTCACAGCTAATAATGCATAATGTCAGACATATTCAGTTATTGCACATTTATCTGAACAAACTATGAAAGCAATGCTAAATTATAAGAATATAAGAAAATACTTCATCAACAAAGAGCACGACATAGCATTAATTGGTTATATATAATACATTAATCACACAAAGGTTTTTTTTTATCATTTTACTAAATCGTAAACATTGATTAACTTCTTCCTGTCTCTCTGTTGTTGAACAAATAAGTAAGTAACACAGCTACTTTACACTGTACGATGTAATGTTTGTTTTTACAAGTGTCATTAATCCACCAGACATGGAGATAGACCGAGCGTCCATACTACATTTACTTCTGTCCCTGGAGGTGACCATGTCATTTCACTGGTATTGTGGCGGAGCGGATTTCTGTCAGAAAAATAAAACAAATTATAACACTGTAAATCTAACATACAATTATCGGCATCAAATGCATTTGTGTAATACTTTGTATTATGCTTCTAACGAAAAATATTCTTTTTCAACTTATCGTTTTGTAAATCTCGTTAAATGGTACACATTTATTTCCATTTTGCCTAAATTTTCACGACAAAGATTGTTTTGAAAACTTTACACGATAGAAATAAAACAGACTTAAAAAAAAGTTGGACCAAGGTTGAAAACGAGAATAAATTGTATGCAATGCTGTTAAACAATAAAAGTACGTTTCAACCTAAACCTAAACAAAACGGACCTCTGGGGCAGTATAACCCGGAGGAGGAGCAGCAGCAGCAGAGTAGGTAGGCGGAGCCGTTGGGTAGCTCGCGGTGGCTGGTTGTTGATAGCCTTGCTGTGGGGGATAGCCTTGCTGTTGGGGGTAGCCCTGTTGTGAAGGGTAGACGACTTGAGTGTTTGATGTTGCTGTCGTTACAACTGTCCGACTTCCATACTCCGGTTGTCCAAACCGTATATAGTTTTGACGAGCACGTCGACGTCGGAGGCATATGATGCAGCTTACGATAGAAAAGAAAACGATGACCCATATCGACCAGAACCCTGTGACAATAAAGTATCAAAATCATATATCTAGGAAATGGCATGTTCACAAGAATGCCAATGTAAAGGAGAAGCTCCTTTACCTCGGCGGGGGCCATTTTCGTCAGTCTACATCTACATATAATAAATCTCGACCGAAATATTAAGAAATACGACGATCACCCTCTATGACATCACATCCACTTCTGGAACGAGTCATCGGAAGACGGAGCAACGAAGAAGTCACCTTCAGACATTGGTATATCTCAAAAAATAATTTACCAAATTAATTATGGCTCCGGATCGAACGATCTGGGTCATATTGTTTATTGGCATCTGTTTGTTAGTCTATTGTCAACTTTAACCTTGTCCATAACTATTGCACCGTAACAGGTAGGGCTTGCAAATTTGGTATGTGTGCTCCTTGCGGCAAGACCTTTCTGATGGTGCAAAAAATGTTACCATGTTACCTTGACCTTTGACCTTCATTTGAAAAACTTAAACATTGGCATTAACTATTGCACAATGAAGACGCAAGCTTTTCACTAAATGCGCATGCAATTATCACATGCTTTACAAAGTTTAGTTTTAATGTTCCACCTCCGAAGTTTGTTGCAACCTTTGGATAGTGTGTCATTAACACCTGTACATCTTGTTTTTCGATTTTCTTTTTCTTTCCATCTTCTTCAAGTGATTTTTTTTTCATACAGAAATAGTCTTACTTGATTCAATACTGATTTCTCACGCACCGTTTTCAATAACAATAAGACTGTTCCAACTTTCTCACATACATCCATGCCCAGCTACACAACCTCTTGCACTTTTGTCGAAAGAAACAACAAAGGGACAAATTTGTAGTCTCTACTTGGGAACTACGTATCAGCACAACACAAATTATAGAATACAATACTAAACGTGATTTCTGTCTACCGGGTATATACTACAGTCAGACTTACACCAGTACTCGTAGACAAAGGTGTGGTAACAGCAGGTACTAGAACCATCGTAACAGCAGTAGGCGTCATCTGTAACGTAAATAATAGTACACATCATAACAGCAGTAGGCGTCATCTGTAACGCAAATAATAGTACACATCATAACAGCAGTAGGCGTCATCTGTAACGTAAATAATAGTAAACATCATAACAGCAGTAGGCGTCATCTGTAACGTAAATAATAGTAAACATCATAACAGCAGTAGGCGTCATCTGTAACGTAAATATCATAACAGCAGTAGGCGTCATCTGTAACGTAAACATCATAACAGCAGTAGGTGTCATCTCTAACGTAAATAATAGTAAACATCATAACAGCAGTAGGCGTCATCTGTAACGTAAATAATAGTACACATCATAACAGCAGTAGGCGTCATCTGTAACGTAAATAATAGTAAACATCATAACAGCAGTAGGCGTCATCTGTAACGTAAATATCATAACAGCAGTAGGCGTCATCTGTAACGTAAAGCAGTAGGCGTCATCTGTAACGTAAATATCATAACAGCAGTAGGCGTCATCTGTAACGTAAACATCATAACAGCAGTAGGCGTCACCTGTAACGTAAATTATAGTAAACATCATAACAGCAGTAGGCGTCATCTGTAACGTAAATAATAGTACACATCATAACAGCAATAGGCGTCACCTGTAACGTAAATTATAGTAAACATCATAACAGCAGTAGGCGTCATCTGTAACGTAAATAATAGTAAACATCATAACAGCGGTAGGCGTCATCTGTAACGTAAATATCATAACAGCAGCAGGTGTCAGCTGTAACGTAAATATCATAACAGCAGTAGGTGTCAGCTGTAACGTAAATATCATAACAGCGGTAGGCGTCAACTGTAACGTAAATAATAGCAAACATCATAACAGCGGTAGGCGTCATCTGTAACGTAAATAATAGTAAACATCATAACAGCGGTAGGCGTCATCTGTAACGTAAATATCATAACAGCAGCAGGTGTCAGCTGTAACGTAAATATCATAACAGCAGTAGGTGTCAGCTGTAACGTAAATATCATAACAGCGGTAGGCGTCATCTGTAACGTAAATAATAGTAAATAATAGTAAACATCATAACAGCAGTAGGCGTCATCTGTAACGTAAATATCATAACAGCAGTAGGCGTCATCTGTAACGTAAATATCATAACAGCAGTAGGTGTCATCTGTAACGTAAATATCATAACAGCAGTAGGCGTCATCTGTAACGTAAATATCATAACAGCAGTAGGCGTCATCTGTAACGTAAATATCATAACAGCAGTAGGCGTCATCTGTAACGTAAATATCATAACAGCAGTAGGCGTCATCTGTAACGTAAATAATAGTAAACATCATAACAGCAGTAGGCGTCATCTGTAACGTAAATAATAGTAAACATCATAACAGCAGTAGGCGTCATCTGTAACGTAAATATCATAACAGCAGTAGGCGTCATCTGTAACGTAAATATCATAACAGCAGTAGGTGTCAGCTGTAACGTAAATATCATAACAGCGGTAGGTGTCAGCTGTAACGTAAATATCATAACAGCGGTAGGCGTCATCTGTAACGTAAATATCATAACAGCAGTAGGTGTCATCTGTAACGTAAATAACAGTAAACATCACAATAACATATAACTTGATAAAGTATGACAACCTTCTAACTGGTTAACGAATGGTTTCATTATCAATGAATTATAGACAGACAGACGGACGGCTGGACAGACAGAGCGCATGAATAAGGAAACCTTCAAATCAGTTCTTACAACCAGGCGTTAACTATTTACAAAAATTAGTGATTACAGACTTTCTTAATATATATATATATATAGTGACATAATAAGTGCAATACTTTAAAATGACTAAAGAGGAAAAACTGTTCAATGATAGAACGCGCCTAAACATGAGGAAGCAATATAATGGCGTCTGGGACGGTCTGCCAACAATGGTCGCTTTCACGATATGGTTCCGGCAACCCGAAATTATTTCACAATTAAAGAACACACTTGTACTGGGTGTTAAAATAATGTATGTAAAGCTAGTTTACAGTTTCGGAACTTACTGTCAATATATATATATATAATAATGAACATAATATTTCATCCATTTTAAACCGTAGTATTGTAAATAATTCTAGAAATGTGCGCGTATCGACCCTACTTTATGCGTAAATTCTAAAAACTAATACTTTTCAGGAAAAGCAGGACCTCTCAAACTGCACGTGCTGAATACGCTGCAGTCTAAGTTCGGTCCCGTTCTGTATTTGGCCTTTCTCTTGAACGTTCAGCTGGTCCAACCATTTCAAGCGGTTACGTGAAAGCGACCGAAGATTCTTTTTTGAGTCTTGCCTGGACCATCTCTGGTTAAACCAAACGATACTCTGTAACTGGGATGCATATTTATACTAAACATATCTGTCTATAATTAGAGACAAACAGAAGTGATACACAGTCGTAGTTAAGTGAATCAAATACATTCCAATTACATATCATCAAATTAATGTAGTGAATGCATGTATCATGACTCTAATCTGTGTTATATACACTAACTTTTCAACCAAACTACCACTAATTACTGTTTATCACGTGTCCACATTCTTGGCATAACTTATTCAATCGGTATTAAGTTGACAGTAACAGCGGAGTTGGTAAGTCATTAAATCAGAATAAACGTGTCTGTTTGTATACCTGTGTATAGGGTTAGAGTAAGGGTATTTGTGTTTTCGACCAAGAATGACTCATTCAGAACATCGCTTATGTATCAGATTTCCTTCCTTTATTTCGCGCATTTTCGTGAATGTCCTTGGAAATATTGACATTAGCACAATATTACAGATTGTAAATAAATTTTAAACAGTGATGTTATACTCACCTCCATAACACCATGTATTTGAATACGGGTATGTGCTGCTTATGCAGAAAGTGTCGCCCTACAATAGGAAATAAACAGGTCAACTCCAGGCCACAGAATTCGTTAATATTACACATTAAAATAGGTCAACTCCAGGCCACATAATTCGTTGATATTACACATTAAAATTCACCAATGACGTTTTTCATAAACAGTTGGTTCGATAATCAAAGACTTTAATCTAGAGTGGGTGCGGTGATTACCTTTCGGCCAAAGCTCCGATTCTGACCCAAATTCTCTACCCCCGGGTAGAATATTCATACTCCACATACATACATCATACCTTCCTACTGTATTTCGTACTCAGGAATTCCTTCAATATCTTGGTGTGTGACAAAGATTTCCTTAAAATATCTGATTTTTTTTCTTAGCATGAATGAAATTATCAACACTAACCTCAAATTGATAGAGTTAACCATTTGTATGTGGAATGTGAATATTCTACCCGAGGGTATAGAATCTGTGTCAGAACCGTGACTTTGCATTAATCATTAATCATCAAAAGCATGTGTAATAATTCCTTTTGTTCACGAGATGGAGTAAGACCTCCAATTGGCAAAGTCCACTTTGTGTATCCACACAGGATACATGTCCACACAGGAAACGTGTATCCCACATAAGCAGAAGTGGAAGACAAGTGGAGGGAAAAGACAATTATGATGGCAAACATGAGGGTTGCCTATTGTTTGTAACGTAACCTTTTCCCAAGGGTCGGAATTCCCCATCTCACCAACAAGTGGCGTATGATTAATTTTCTCTTACCCTGCTGACCTTGTTGTGTACTAATATGTGTTTTCGTTGCTCCAGTGCTTCACATCGTTGTCATGATCAGCAAAAACTCAAATCGATAATGTCAGAGATGATAACCCTTCACGTTCTGTTGTCTATCCTCCCCTCCCCATCTTACCTCTAAGAGGTGAATTTTTTTTATTAATCTCATACCATTAAAAAGCGTGGATAAACCTGCCCATGAAAAGCGAAAGGTGTATCCAGATAGGCAATGGTAGAATAATCTACTAGTTATTGAAAGTAGAAATAACAGTTAAAATAAATAAATAAATAACGATTTATCGACTTCATTACCTTAAACGAGAAAATCCATGAAACATCGAAAAAAAGTCTTTTGTGATGAACATTATATGAAATTGACTTAGGCACTTTCAGTCCATTCAGTAAAAAAACTTATCGATATACAACATTTTTTTCATATATTTCAATTAACAACTTATTCACGTGACATAGACCTCAGACTGACAAAATATAACTCTTATAACAACTTAAATTTGTCTCATGTGTTCGAGTATTTTAAGTGTTGATCACAGCTTGTTGTCCTTAAAACTCTGAATAATCCAGGAAGGATTTTTTCACAAATTTCATACTATTAATAAATCTTAAAAAAGCATGAGTCTAAAAGTAAAAAATTATGAATTATCTATATGGGGAATTGAATAAGTTTGAAATCTTCCCTCTGAAAACTTTTGAAGTTTAATAATTTTGCTGTATCATTAGGAGTGTATGATAGCTATGTTAGTATACACAGATAACTTGAGTAAAGTAAATACCATGGGTCACATTTTAAATGGGTAGTCATAATGACACATAAAGATAAAACACTTGAAGTGTTGATAACATATATCTATGATAACAATGATTCATTCAATACTCTGAATTGTTTCTGAAATATGATTGTTTATTTTGCGCAAGAAAAAAAAATTATGTGTACCCCAATGGAAATAAGCGTTTCAACGCTTTTTTGGGAAATCCTAGGATATATGTACTTTTTGTCTTTATTTATAAATATCACTAGCTGATACATTAAAGATGTAGCAAACAACTCATTCATGATTATGTATAACATGTTATATGTGCCATATATTTATATGTTTTGTATACAAATCTGTACGTCTTTATCCTGAATAATTTTATTATTATGTGATATTAGATATTAGATATACATCTTTTTTTCGGAAATATACATGATAATGTATCAAATTAACAAAAGCTGTTAAGTAGGAGTGAAAAATCTTTATAAATAGATATGTAATTACCTATGTCATTAAGATATCTGATATAGTACAAAAGATATACCTGAAGACATCCTTAAGGTTAAACAGGATATAAAACCTCCTCGTCCTCGCTTAGCTTTGTACACAGGCGAACAGTTTAAAGGTTTTGTCGTGTGTTTGAAAAACACGTGATACATGATCCACATATACAGGAAATGATTAAATATATTAATAAAGAAGAGTTTTAAAGTATCTATATTATAATACTACGATTTTTCCGTTTTACACCCCCTCCCCTGAATCTATATTATAATAATACGATTTTTTCCGTTTTACACCCCCTCCCCTGTATCTATATTATAATAATACGATTTTTCCGTTTTACACCCCCTCCCCTGTATCTATATTATAATAATACGATTACGCCCGTTTAACATCATCTCCATTGTATCTATATTATAATAATAGGATTGTGGTGTCCGTTTTACAACAACACCCCCCTTCCCCGTCCGTTTTTAACCCCGGTGAAAACCAATGAGATGAGATACGAGTTAGGCGACAGTAGAGATGTGATTTATTTTAGGGGATATTGGTGATCTGTATGGGTATATGTATCAGTTCAACGTTCATAGCGTAAACCGTTCAATATAATACACCATCACAATACACACAATGCCTTCTAGTACGTGTTACATCCTGTTTGTAAACACAGAGATTAACTCCCTTCGTTCGAGTCCAAAATCTTCTTACAATATCATACGCACACGTACCTTTACGTGGTGTAACAGAAGTCCAGTTACGATGACCAGTAAGGATTCGGTCCACCCCATGGTCCTTTTGTCTTAATTCTGTTTGGGTTTCGATGAAGAACTAGTTGTCCACAGACTTCCTGTTACACTGCGATCGTCCCACCTGATAAAGTCATATGACCGTGTCGATTGCTATCGGTCACGTTACTTCAACCGCAGTGTATACACTATACTTATCTAACCCCGTGTCTGTCGTAGGATATCGGAATTCCACGGATATTGTATTACACAACAGATTGCCAATATCAAACAATTTTCATTCTATTGTTTATAACGTGTCGACATTCGGACTTGGGCAAGTCTAATATAGTCTTTTGAACTGACAAGGAAACATGATTCTGAATTCATTTTTATGGTTTATTGTTTTCTTTACAAAGGAAAATTAATCTTTTCATCGAACCTTCAGTTTATTCAGAGACTTAAACCGGAAGTATTTAACTTGCTATTGGGTAAAGTGCTTAATTTATGTGTTAAAACCTTCATTTTATTCAGACACTTAAACTGGAAGTATTTAACTTGCTATTGGGTGAAGTGCTTAATTTATATGTTTAAGTTTTTCTTTATTGCCACTTCCCTATATATATTTCGACTTGCCAGGGCGAAGAAAGATAAATTTGTCTTTCTCACCAGAGTCAAAATGCAGCTTATAATTTAAGACATTCATCGGACCATATATTCTTTTTATCCTGCAACATTGATTAAAAATCAGACCATCAATACTTCAGCGGGTTTTTTTCTTTGACGTTACGCTGACTTTTGCATGATGACGTATGCCAAAATAATTGCTACGCACAAATTCTTATAAGTTACACACGATCGAGAAACTTGACTGATTATCTTAATCAAAATTCATTTGATTGGAAATATAACCCGCCAATTCTCAAAGGAAAAAAGTCTGCAGGTTATCGCGATTTATTTTGTGAAACTCCGGATGTAATTCGGAAAAGAAATTTAACAGGCCTTGCAAGCATGTTCACAAAGGATGTCAATTTCGTACGTATGAACTGGGATTATACCGAACACTTTAGAAAGTTTCTAGGTTTGCAGAACGTCATACCATGGTTGTTAGAATTACATTATGCCGATATTTATCTAAAGTTTTTTAACACCCTCTTCAAACCTACAAACATGATCACTGAAGCAGTAAACAAGACTGTACAAAATGTATCAAAACTTGCCTGTGTTCATATTCGTATGGGTGGAAGTGACAAGATACCAGGAGATGACACGCATACAGAAGGGAAACAACTTAAACATGTCTGGAACTTTCTTAAGGCCATGGAAGCCAGAAACTATAGCATTTTTATTGCAACCGACGCACAAATTGTACGGGAGAAGGCAAATGCATTATTCAAACACCTCCTAGAGGCTGAAGGACGAATCCTACACATAGACTGGGGAGCTACTGGGGATGACTTAGTTAATGGTTATAAGAAAGTTGTTGATTTCTTTGTTCTCAAAGAATGTGATCAAAGTTGTACTGTCTAACAACAAATGAGTTGGTGCCGTGTTCTCGGTATACGATACATAACTACTACCCTGGCGATTTACTTTCCCATTAGTCTTACTGATGCTAGTGCACAAAGATAATTGGGCCATCTTATATCTCGGGATGTAACGTTTGAAGCCCGTATTATCTACTGCACCGTGTAACAGGATCATCAATTTAGGAAACGATGTGATTTCGTCAAGTTAACTTTCAGTGTTTTAGATAGATATCGATGGAGTGGACATTCGCCTAATTGATATCTATAGTTCTGCAGACTGTTAAATAGATGGCCTACGTCCCAGCTCTTGTACTGTCGAGAGATGTACCGTCTGTTTAACGGATAACCTCAATGCGATATCTGGTACTATCAGGTGAACTGTCGGTCGTTGATGGATACCTTGTGAACTATCGTCTGTTGAATGATAATTTATATGCAAATGTTTATCTACTTAAGGAATATCCGTCTTATGAATGTAAAAATGTCATATGGATTTTTTGCTGAGGGAATGGATAGCTGACAAATAAACTGCCGACTGTTGAAAAATAGCTTTCTTGTCAGAATGGACAACATTGCCCCATAATGATAAACTCTTAATTCAAAATGGATAATATTATATCATAATGATAGATTATAAATTCAGAATGGACCAATTTTATCGCAGAATGATAAAAATATTAAGTCGGAATGGAAAATATTACCTCCAAATGACAAGATATTAACTCAGAACGGAAAATATTATATCAGAATGATAAAATATCAAGTCGGAATGGAAAATGTTATCTCTGAGAAAAAATAGTAACTCAGAATGGGAAATTTAATCGCATTATGATAAAATATTAGCTCAGAATGGACAATATCATACCAGAATCATGAATTATTAAATTCGAATGGACAACACTATCTCCAAATGACAAATGTATTAACTCAGAAAGGACAAATTTTATATCAGATGGACAGTCAAGGTTTGCAGTCAAGATGAAACCATAGCTGAAAACAGTGACTGTCCATCGAATAAATAATTATACTGTGAAACCACAATATATTTCTCTTTTTCTTCTTTGTTTTTTTCATATGAGATAAACAAAAGATAAGTAAAATTCTAGACAAAATATTGGCAGTAGAACAAGGTATTACTACATTTATATGCAAAAAAATGTATTCTACTTATTTTTTTTATCAATTATAACTTAAATATATTCATATACATATGTTTATATGTATCCTATAACAAAAGTGCGATGAGTTTGCACTTACCAGCATGTAAATAGGGTTATGTGTTATGAATGAATGTTCCTGTCTGTTCATATGTGTAAGCATGCGTGCTTTCGTGTGTACCTAGTTGAATTCATGCGTGCACGTGTGTATGTATACAGTGTGTATGTATGTTTGTATGTATGTTTCTTTGTATCATAATTATACTCTCAATATAAAACAGATATGTATTCAATATTTAAGTGTATACATATTTATGTGTGTTTGTGTATATATATGTATAAGTGAGTGTGGGTATGTATGTGTGTAAGTATACATAAAAGGGCATATGAACGCAAAATTACTTGTTATAGAGAAGCAAATTTTGAACTTTTTAATGACAAACTAAACGACACTGACTGGTTAGATTTATTTACGACGTCGCATTCCCCGGATGATATGTGTGAATCATTTACAAACAGATACCTAGACATTGCCAGGGAATGCATACCGACAAAAACTGTTACTATCCGACCTAACGACAAGCCCTGGTTCAATTCGGAATTACGACGTGAAATTAGGAAAAGAAACAGACTACTAAAAAAAAAAAATAAAACTAACCGCACTCCAGGCAATCCGACTAACTTCCGGAAACAACGTAATCATGTTAATAATTTAAAGAAACGTACTAAAGAAAATTTCTATGCGGACATAAATGGTATTTTAGATCGTTATTCTGACTCGAACCCCAGAAATTTTTGGAAAATTGTCCGCAGACTTCTAAAAACATCTGACTCAACAAATAACATACCTCCCCTTATTAGCAATTTTGGAAATCTTGAAATGACAGATGAAGGTAAAGCCAATATTCTAAATGATTACTTTGTTTCCATTTCTACCATTGACGATACTGACGTTGACATACCAGAAATAGAGCTACGGACGGACGCTACTCTATCAGATATACCATTTCAATTAGACGACATTACTGACATTCTAAAATCTTTACATGTTAATAAAGCTGTTGGCAGTGATACAATAAGTCACATTATGTTAAAAAATACTGCAGAGTCGATAGCATATCCGTTATCTCTAATTTTTAGATCTTCCTTGGATACTGGTATCTTTCCGTCACAATGGAAACTAGCTTTAATTATGCCATTATACAAAAAAGGGAATAAAAATGAGTCTTCTAATTATAGACCAATAGCTCTTCTCAGTACTCTTGGCAAAGTTTTTGAACGTTTGGTTGTAAAATATCTAAATAACTTTTTACTTGATAATTCTTTGATTTTTAAATACCAGTCAGGTTTCCAGCCTGTTCATTCTACTGTTCATCAAATTATTGAAATTTATCATACATTATGTGAAAATATGGAAAATTTTGAGTCAACATGTTTAGTTTTTTGTGATATTTCTAAGGCGTTCGACAGGGTATGGCACAAGGGACTGAATGTGAAATTAGAAAATCATGGTATATGTGGAAAACTTTTAGTTTGGCTGAACAACTATATCAGTAACAGAAAACAGCAAGTTTGTGTAGGAAATAGTAAGTCTTCCGTTAAATCTACAAGTTCAGGTGTTCCACAAGGTTCAGTATTAGGCCCCTTACTCTTTATTTTGTATATAAATGATATAGCTGATAACCTTGAAAGTCTTTCTAAACTGTTTGCCGATGATACTTCATTATTATGTTCCGGTACTTCCCTTTTGGACATTGAAACCAAAATTAATAACGACCTAGCTAAAATTCAACATTGGGCAGAAAAGTGGCTTGTAAAATTTAATCCCCTAAAAACGGAAGCCTTACTTATTTCAAACATAGAGCATGATCATGTCATAGATATTAAATTTAATAATGTGAGTGTCGATTTTGTTGAACATCATAAACATCTAGGTGTAACTTTAGATGAGAATTGTAAATGGGGTAAACATATAGAAAACATTTGTAAAGATGCATCTAAACAGGTAAGTATCCTACGTAAATTAAAATACATGTTAAATAGACAAACTTTAGTCAAAATCTATAAGGCTTATATACTTCCATTATTAGAATACTGTTGTGAAGTTTGGGATGGGTGTTCTCTCAGTGATGCAGACAAACTAGAAAAACTTCAGTTAGAATCTATCAGAATTATCACTGGTTTACCCTCTTATACCAGTAGAGAATCACTGTATTCTGAGAGTGGTCTAGAACCATTATCAGAAAGACGCACTAGAAGAAAACTACAGCTTTTCTACAAAATAGTTAATAATCTCACTCCAAATTATCTGTCTACTCTATTGCCCCCTTTAGTATCTGAAAATTCACAATATAACCTCCGTAATGCACAAAATTATTCTTTACTAAATTTCAGACTACAACTAACAAACTTATCTTTCTTTCCGTCCACTATCCGACTTTGGAACCAACTTGAACTTGAACTTAGA